ACATACGAAACATGCATTTTTTAAACAATTTTTTTAACAAACAGATTTTTATCGTGTTATTCAATGTTTAAAAAAAATTTAATTTAATTATACCGGTTTAACGTTGTAATTAAGCGCTTTCTTAGATTTAGGAAAGAACGGTAACGCTAAACCAGATCTAGATGAAGATACTCGAGTAGGCGGTTTATAATGAGCTCAACATAAGAAAAAAATTAATTTACATAGAAAAGAACTCGCTAATTATGTTTAGTAGTACAGATAATTGTATTACAAATTTTTATGATACAATCACGTTTCTAAAACAAAAATACTTCTTACGATACAATGAAAAAACTGCACTCATATATTTATTAATAAATAAAACATAAAAACATAAAAGTTAATTTTTTTACATCTCAGAATAAGAGATAAAAAGATAAAAAATTGGCTACAGCAAGTGTGATAAAGCTAAATAAATATTGAATGTAATTTACATGCTAAGATGCTCAAATTTAGATTTTATATAATCAAAAAATGTTGATTAAGAACTTGCAATTGTTTCTTCAAATTTTTATACTATAAAATGCAACTACTTCTTGCGAGCAATATTAAATATAACGAATTTTATATATACGCTCCACTATTATTGATATTTGATAGTTTTTTCTAACATAATATCTTGAAGATGAATTTAATAACGAAAATAGTTATATAGCTATTTTTCTCTTTATGGAACTTGTCTATTAACATTCGCAACAAGACTCCTTTTTATGACTAAGAAATTACATTTGAATTTCTATTCTTTTCAAGTAGAACGGTCTATCTCTTTGCTTTTTCCGCATCTCTTATTTGATATTCATCTAGCATACACAATTATTGCTATCAGTGGTCTTAAAAATCTTTCTTGTTGCCATTTTTTGTGCGTGAATTTCGTTTATTTCGTATTTGCAACAAATATTCTAAGAGGATAAATGATTAATCTAGAAAATTATATGAAATCTAATCGATTTTAATTAATTAATATTATTGCACAGTATAATAATAGAACTTCTCAGATGAGGGAAATTCCGGGATCGTAAAGTGTAATGGTAACCGACGTATTAGAAAGGAAAACTATATGCACCTAGCACGTGCAGGCCGATCGGTATCCGTGAAAGTCCAGAGCCCGGTTTGCACGAGCGCCTGCTGGGGAATCACTCTGATCTGTACCCCGGGCGCTTTCCAGCCGATGACTTGCGCGATGTGACGTTTACCTCGCGGTAACGGATATCCAGTCCCGTACGTAACAGTGTCCACAAGGCACCGGCTGTAACCGAGCGTGTCCTTCGAAAACGGCATTCACCGATGGTAACCGATATAAGGTGCTGCTTCAGGGCCGTAGAGTACTAGAGAGTCCTAGTTTCATTACGCCGATGAAGGCTGTGTGCAATGCAATCCAAGTCAACAACTCACTATCGCGCTGTGCATTTATTTTAGATTGACAAATACTTTATATATGCATCGATTTTATTACGGCAAAATTTATTTCTTATTGAATGCATGTTGACGCGTCTCATACAACTCCAATTGATAGAAACAAAAATAAAATAATAGAACACTGTGCCAGATTATTCACTATTAAGTTTCTTTTTAATTAAAAAAAATTTCAAAAATGCTAAAAAATTATAAAGATATAATGCGTGTTGCATTGTATCAAAGCTAAAGTTTCTTCGAATTCAGAGTTTAGAATCGTTTTACAAGTAATCCACTATAAACGCATGTGGAAGTCTAAATTCATGCATATTTCCATTAATTGCCAGATATAACTATAGTTTAGTATTTTTACTTGAAGTTTTTAAGATATTGCGACATTTGAAGCATTAATTTCATTAAAAGAGTTAAATTAAAAATCTAACGCACCATGCTTGGAACGTGTGCGAAAACAGTTCTGAGTTACGCTATCGAGTATCTATGAGCCGTGTAGTGTAGTTTGCGGGCAAATTCGTTGGAACGCGCGGGCGTTAAAAGCCGCGCAACTCCTTTCACCGGTGCTACCGGACCAACGGAGCATGCTACAGACGGATCGTTGCGTCTAACCGGTCGAATGACCGCTCTCAAATGTGATTCACGACTAAACCCGATCGACTGGTCCCGCTCGCCGCTTGAAATCGGATCCACTGGCGGGCAAGAGCCGAGTTGTAGCAAATAATTCTAACATGGTTTACGTAAAGCGAGTAATATCGATTACGATTAATTGGGACGAAACAAACGGAGAATATGCATGTATATTCTGATAATCTGAATTACATTTTAGATGCGCAGAAATTATCACTTTATCACTTTAAATTATTTTTTTGCATATAATATTCAGAACGATTAAATATCAATGATTTATTAATTTTTTTACATCTTAATATCATAAAATATCTTTTTGCACAATTGTGCAATGTTTGCATAAAACGATCACATTAGATTTATCACGAAAAAAATTTAGGCAACAGTATTAATCATCTTTTTAAGATAGATACCGTTGATAGATTGTGCATAATTTAAATCTGAAAGATTGTCATCATTATTATAAAAAAAAAATGATTTTGCTTTGTCATATTTTGTTCACTTTCTACATTCTCTTGGAAAAAAAAGTACTTGTATAAAAAAAAGACAAGTTAATGATAGCGTGACGTGATGCGCATGAATACGTTGAAGCGTTCAACACTATTTTAGTCATGCGAAATTTGGGACAAAATTAAAGGTTGCAGGAAAAAGGATTATTTACCAGAGGCGGTGTGTCATGTTTGACGCGTATTTGCTCTGCAAACTGGTGTGTCGTCGTCACTCATCTCGCACGTTAAACTTAATCCGTTGTACCGGGATTTAACGACTGTGTCCGTGCTCTCGACATTTTAATTTGCAATTAATCCAGGTATATAAATGCTTTTCTTTCTTAATGTCAGTATAATTTTAAATAAATGCCGCTTACTAAACAAATCATTTAATAAAATTATTTAATATTTCCATACGATACATATCGCGCTTTAAAACTTTATATAAATTAATTGAATTAATTTGGTTAAAATTATAGGTTTATTAAAATTTTTATAAATTAATTTATGACAATTACTTGTAAAACGATTCTAAACTCTAAATTCGAAGAAACTTTAGTTTTGATACAATGCAACCCGCATTGTATCTTTATAATTTTTTAGCATTTTTGAAATTTTTTAAATTGAAACGAAAATATTCTATAGCGAATGAATTTAATATTTTAATGAGTTAAGCTTTATGATCCTTAAATAAAACAGACAATGAATTAAAAATTTTATAATCGTGTCAAATTGTATTTCAATGATTCGCTCTGCACCAGTTGTACTAAAGAACGTAGCATAAATAGTAATACGCAAATAGTTTATATGCAAATCAGTAATGCTCTTACGATAAAACATGAAAAATATGTAACGATTTTATGTTAGCACAGTTTTGAATAATGACATAACTTTCCACACATCGATATTGTTGCCCGTATAGTACTTTGCAGTACTCCAACATTGCAGTAAAATCGCGATGTAATCGGCGAGAAATTGTACAGAAGCGAAGCTACAATACAGTTACGGTTGGGTAATTTCGAGATTGATGCGATAAAATTGATCCGTTTTACGATTTCGCGGCAGTCTAAATCGTCATTTGTAATTACGACGTGGGTAATAAAGTGACGCTTACGTGGAAACAACATAGATAATTTATGTTCTGTGTCCATATTTACAGACAATTTGCCAATGTCTTCAAGCTGCTCGAAAGCCTCAAAAGTCTTTTTTTTTTATTTAGTAACATCATCTTTACTATTTTTAGAAACCGATAAGTAATTAATTTATTAGTAGGGATTTGTAGGAATTGAGGGATTGTTTCTCTCTATTTAAATCGAATCATACCGCTTGGACATCAGGTAAAAAAGACTATTACCACATCAGATTCATAAAAGCGTTTCACCAATTGTGAAATATAAAATGAATTATGTCTATATTACAACCACGGTAATTATAGCTGTTCGAGAAGACACAATACTAATTAAAGTTGTAATCCGCGATTTGCGTGCTATGCTATTTTGAAATATCAACAAAAAAATTTAATGCCAATTCAAAAATATACATATTTTAAAAAATATTTGATTGATTTATGGAATTTATTGCATAAACTGATATTTAAATTATTTTCTATTGTAAAATTAATTTTTAACGTGAACGCACTTGTTCAATGCATCATAATGTGTCGCTATCTTTCAAGAATACAATTTATTTGCGTCTTTTCTCATGTTTGATTTGGATGTTTGCCTAAAATATAACCACAGATATTAATGACGATCTCAGGTAGAAATAGATGCGTGGATGGATAGAATTTGGTTTAAATAAAATTTTAAAAATAATTTAAAGTTGTAACATTTTAATAAATATTTTTGGTCTTGATAAACTTAGTAGCAAAATACAGATTTTCTCAAACTTTCTTAATTAAAATATTTTTTAATAAATTAATTTAGTGCATATGTGAGCCATATTGAGTAAATATAAAAAATAACATTTGCTTAATGTTAGACAATGTTACTTTTAATTTTATTCATTGTTTGTTACTTTTTAATATAATAAAATATTTTAAAATAATAAAAAATATAAATAGGAGTATACAACATACAAAATTTTTTAATTCCGTAAAAAATATATTTATTTTATGATTGCATATATATATATTTTCTTTTTATTGCATTTACTTATTACATCACAAAGTTACAATAAAAAAACGAGTATAAAAGAGAAGATACCATGCAATACTATTGATTTATTATCACAAAGATCATATTGCTTCTTTTGTCTAATGTTGTGCATTAATATTAATATTTATTGCATAGCATTTTTGTCTTTTACTTGCTTTTTTTTAACATTGTCACGTAATTAGACAAATGTGAAAGAAAAAAATATAGAAATTCGACCGTACATTGTTGCAAAAATAATCTTTTAAATTTGCGGTGAAAGAATATTATAAAATAACGTTGCAAATCTTGGATTAGTTTTGTATTTATTTAAAAATTATGAGACGTGTCACAGTGATGCAATACATATATGTCGATGTAAAAAAATTAGACGAGGAAAGTAGCGCCTTGCGTACTTGAACGTGCTGCGCTACTTCGCGCACTGGTTAATATCCTTCAGGCGCAGTGCATTCACGCGCGTAAAGGAACATTCATTATCTACGCATGCACGTGAAACATAATAATTATTTGTGTACAATTTACATAATTATGAGCGTTTCAATACTTTCACCCGCGAACTTCCTAACGAAATCCCGATGATATAGCAGAAAATTACAACTTTTCTCGCATCGTAATTCACGATTAGAAATAATCGTTTTGAAATTCCGCACGTGTATCCGTTTTATCGTGATGAAGAAATGTGCAATGCTACTTTATTTGAATGAAGGTCATTCCGATTTATCGAGGCACTCGGATTTCATTTTCACTGCTCCTGGCGTCGATTGAAGGCGTTGGAAAATGCTGCGGTCTTCATCTTGCATGATGAAAGCTGCCGACCGTCAGCCAACGATATCACGAATGATCGTAAACGTCCAATTTTCCGCTCGGCCGTAGTTTAGTAGTTTACAGAGCGTGGTGATGCAGATGATGAAGAAGGGACGCGCGCGCTCTCTCTCTCTCTCTCTTCTTTGATGAGCGTTTGCCAATTGCGCGGCTAACCCCGGCCTTCGAGCGCCCATCTTCATTATCAGATTCGCTCTTTGCCTTAGTCGTCTCCTCCCGTCATGACTTCCATGAACTCTGAAAGCGCGCAAAACACAGTGGGCGTTAGTTATAATCAAGCGGCGCCTCGTGTTTCCCGCAAAACTTGGCGAACCACCCAAGGCAAGGGACTTATTGAATGTTCGATCGACTTTGCTATTTAGTGCCGGTTATGTTGAACATCGTGCTGACATTGACATGCGCGAAACGAATTTACTTGGCTCACGGTTTGGTAACTTGAGCTTTTTAAATGAACTAGTTGGCTTTCAAAGCATGTCACATGTTATCTTATCTTGCGAATTACAACTGTTAAAAGTCTGTAGAACTTCTTGAACGTATTATTTTAAATATCTTGTGTTCTTGGCACGTATTGTGATTTTTAATGAACACTTTGACACTACTATATTTCTTAAATATAATGCTACGTAGACTTTTTTATAATTTAAACAAAAAAAAATAGTAGATAAACACAAGACTTAGTATTTTATTTTATTAAATTAATTTAAAATATTTACTTTATTTTATTTTGTTTTTAAAATGCTGAGTTGACAAATAAAATGTTATAAGTTAATTAAAATATTAAGTTTGTTAAATATTTTAGTTGAATGGTTATTTTACTTGGACAACGCTGATTAGGTTTGTTTATTTAGGATTAGAAACATCGCAGAATGATGAACGTATTTGAAATTTAATAAAGCAAGAAAAGAGATACCGTCAAAGTCAAGTGTTCCTGAGCCATCAGCGTCGATTTCCTCAATCATCAGATCGAGTTCCTCCGGTGACAGTTTGTCATCGAGTTCGTGAAGAATATCACGAAACACGTCAGTGGTTATATAGCCGTTGCCTTCTTTGTCGTACAATCGGAATGCCTCGCGTAGCTCTTGTTGCATCGCTTCTTGGTCCTCTTCAACTAAGAATCTAGCTGCCAATATGCAGAATTCTTCGAACTCGAGTTCACCAGAGCCTGTCGATAGAAAAAAAGAAAAACATGTATCAAAACACTAAGCATAGGAAACATTATCGCAAAATTAATGACATTTAACTTACCATCCTCATCTACTTCTTTAATGATTTCCTGCAACGTACTATCGCTGAGCTCGTGACCCAGCATGGTTAAGATTGTGCCCACCATAGTGGTGCCGATACAGCCCTTCTTTTCGTGATCGAAAGCATCGAAGGCTTTCTTCAGCACTGTTTAGAAAAATAAAATTTAAAACAATTTAATATTATTCTGAATATTTTTGTCGCATGTACATGTGATATGTTATACAAAGATACACTTACGAGCAATTTGATCCTTGTTTAAGTCATCCTGGAATCATGAGATACGTAATTACAATTCGCAACTGTCCAAAACATCATCCGAAATTACATTTCACTAATATAAAACTCAAATAAATCTATATGAAAAGAAAGTAATTAAATTTTATTTTCAAATTTATTCATAATTATCTTAATTATCTGAGTTGTGTAAAAAAATAATTAATTAATTACCAAGTTAATTTTTTTCATATTTTTGTTGGATACTAATTATTATATTGGTTTTATTTTAATATCTAATTATACTAAATATGAATTTTATTCGTATATTTTGCTTTTACATTTTCGTTATATTTTCTGAAAAATTTTGCAACTTGAATTATTTGCGTGTTTACGAAAATTATAAGACTTGCCATGGCGATGGTAACTATACGCGCTCTCCGTGGTACGTTGGCGTCGACGGTTTCTCGAAGTATGCACCAGATTCTGGCTGTGGACTTCTGTTTTAAGTGGTCATAACTTCTGGCACGTGATTGATCAGGTACATCCCGAATCTAGCGGTTTTCAAATCCATCGAGGACGCTCTCCCCACTCTATTTCCATAGACGCGCTTTACCTAATTGTGCAGAACTTGTGGTAACACACTTAATTTTGAAAATCACCCATGCCTTTACTAGTCATACGTTCGATTTGTCAGCGGTTCGGTCAAAAGTGCCAAAAATTCTGACGTTTCTACATTGGCGGAATTAATGCGAGCATATTGCACACGATCCGTCTTGATGCAAGTAATTAACTATGATGTGAAGCGTGTAACATCGACATGCAGCTGCATCAATTACATTAAAGATTATTTTATTCATTTATAACGAAATTGTCCAGTTCTATTATTTAAATAAAATTTGTGTTTAGTTACCATTGAATGAGATATTTTATAAAAATGTTATCAAACATACATATAATGCGTGTAACAGTTACGATGTCATATGCAACATCTAAATGAACGATTAGTTCTATTAAAAAAATTTTTTTGATATAACAAATTACATGATATAATGTATGACATAATGTGAAAAATAATTCTGGCAAGCAAAAATAATTAATTTTGATAAAATTTTAATGCATAAAATATTGTATAATTTTTTATTTTTCCAAATTTTGAAAACAATACTCAATATTAATAAAAGTTTAAAATACTGATTATTATATTATTATATTATTATATTAATATTATATTATATAATATTATATTATTATATTATTTTTATATAATTAGTTTATTTTATTGTAATTTGTGTTTTAATTTCTATTGTAATAACAGTTTGAAACTACAATTTTATTCAAATAGAATTTATTGGAAATATGCAAAAGAATAAGATTTCATGATAAGCATTTTTGCTTAAACATAATAAATTTTTTCTCCCAGATTAATTTTTATCAAAACGTAAAGCAATTGCGCGCAAATTATGCTAAAATTGTTACGTTTTCCGATCAGATCGTCGCAAAAATATTTTATGATTAACGCTTGCACCGCTTTGGTCGAGACCTCACAAGCGGTTCATTGTGAAATTTTGCAATGTCTCGGAACGGCGAAATTTACGAGCGACACGATGTGCGGCCAGTTACATAGATGCAACAATAGACACATTTGGCTCACCGCCTGAGAATTCATGGGTGAGGCTGACCCAAGACGGTTCTATGCAATAACCGTGCATGTCTTATTCTTAGCTTCCTAATTATAAGCTCATAAAGCCCGGCAACTATTATATTTAGGTGGTTTTATCGTTCATTCCGGAATATGTACAGTCGCTTGCGATGGCGTGCATTGTCGGGCTCCTTGGTAGACACGCCTCCGCGATTCTTTTGACGAAAGTTCACAATAGATTACACTACTATTACAGAATCAAGCGTGTAACGTCGCACAGCTAGTGCATGCAAAGCACGTGCCGTTACTGCTGCCAACACGCCACGCATCCGCGAGCATGCATTTTCATGTGCGACTTCTTGCACATTGATGACAACTACAATTATAGACTCTTTACGATAAATATGAAAAATTATGGAGGACGTGTTGAAAGAGTTGCAAAAATTGCGTACTTTTTTAACTATAAAAATAGCATGTAGAAAAATAATAGCAAAATTTTATTTTATACATTATATTATCAAGACATTAAAATTTTTTAAACTAAAATTCAATATTATTAAAGTTTAATAAATAATTAAATCTTTTTTTTTTTAATTTCCAATAAATTTTATTTTTGCTAAAATCTTAATTTTACATTGTAATTATGAAAAAAAATTAAAATACAGATTGAAACATAAGAAATATAAAATTTTTCCTTAGACAGATTACATGATTACGTAATTCAAAATTTTGAAAAATAAATGTACAAAATTTAATGTATCAATGATTTGATCGGTACTTATTGGAATGAGTATACTTCTCTACAATTTTTTTCCGTTTTATTGTTTGATATGGTTTTTTGATAACAAATTAATAATTTTATTTGGCATATACATTAAAATTTTTTAATATTTTAAATATATATTTAAAATATGTAGACTCGCACCACGCAAGCAAAATACATATTTTATAAAATCTTGTTTGATTAAATTACAATTTGCATTTGGATGCAGTGTATCTTGGCACAAAGAATGTAGCATGCACTCTTGGCAAATTAACAGCTCTAAATTTTAAAGTACCAATAATCGCCATTATTATATTAAAAATATTATTTTAAAAATTGCAACAATGTCTAATTTACATTTGACACGTTCTGTATATTATTTTATTGGAAAATTTAAAAATTTTTATTTTTAATTTCTACTGGAATTTGTAGCTTATATATTTTATAAAAATGTAGGTTTTTTTGCACACTGTTTATGTGATAAACGAGCAAACTTTATATTTTGCCAGCGTCATGTACAACTTCGAGGAGATTTCGGCTTTTCTGTTTGCACAGGCTCATTCGATACGTGGGCGACGGACACGGTGTATCCACGTAGTGCCAAAGTCATAATTTATCCTGTCATGACCTCCATGAATTCTGTAACGTAAACGCCGGGGTAGTCAAGTGTGCATAAGCGAAGACGAAGTGGATTAACACCTGTGCACCACGCAAGATCTCTCACCATCGAAATCGAGCGTGCCAGATCCATCAATGTCCACCTCCTCTATGATCATGTCGAGCTCCTCCGGAGATAGTGCGTCGTCCAGTTCGTGAAGGATGTCTCGGAACACATCAGTAGTAATATAACCATTGCCCTCTTTGTCGTACAATCGGAATGCCTCTCGTAACTCCTGTTGTATCGCCTCAATATCAGTTTCCTCCTCGAGGAAGCGCGACCCTAGCTTACAAAACTCTTCGAATTTTAATTCACCAGTTCCTAGAAATTGAAGATTTATGGTTAATCTCGTGTTGTATTCTTTCTTTTATTATATTTTTTCGAATTTCTTGTTTCTTCTATTACATTTTCTCTTTTGCATTGCACATTTCTGTAGGTTATACATATTTGGAGTAAAATGTAAAACTTAAGAACTTAAATTTATTTGTATATGGCATGCATTGCCATTATTGTTTAAAATAATAACTAAAAAATAGCTTAAATGATTATGTTGCATTATCAGTAATGCTACATTTACCCCATACGTCAATTTCCGCGATAATTTCCGCGAGCTCCTCTGATGAGATTTCGTGCCCAAGCATACCCAGAATCGTGCCTATCATGTCTGTGCTAATACATCCTTTCTTGTCGTGATCGAAAGCGTCGAATGCCATTTTCAAATCTATTCAGAAAAATTGTTCCTTAATTTTTACATGTAATTAAAAATACACTCTGATTGTTAATAGTAACTTTAAACTATCACATTACGAAAGTGATGTTAGTTTAATATGCAAATGTACTTACGAGATAGTTGATCTTTGCTAAGCTGAATTTCATCCTGCAATCGAATGAACACCATTAATAGCAATACAAATCTTCAACAATATATTGCAACAACACGCAATGCACTATAAAGAACTCGCGATTCTTATTTTGTACTTAATTTAGATAATTTAAAAAAATATTTACTGTAAAACTACGCGATAATTACCATCGTTAAAGTTTGATTTTCTGGTGAACTATCAAACTGTCGAACAAAATCGGAAAATTAACGGGTTGCTTTGAGATGCCGCTAACTTACTGCACCGATGAAAAAGTCATACTGAGCCGTAGTAAACTAATTAGCAATACGATACTACAGATATACGATACTACAATCGGTGTTAATAGATCATCAATCATGTATCGAATCGAACTATAAAAAGGTTTTTATTTAGAACGCTTTCTCGACAGTCTCTTTGCGAAACAATTAACTTGCTGACGCAATTGAGTAAATGTTTATTTTTTTAAATTTAATATCGTAAATTTTCTAGTTGAAAGTACACGAATATCATGTTTGTCAATTATATAAATTATAATCTTACATTTTTTTATTAAAGCGTACTACAATACTTGGAACTCTCTGGATATTTCTTAATTTTTTAATCGTATAAAAACTGATTGTTTTTTATTTTATTTTACTTTCTTTAAATAATCAAATCTTTTTTTGAAAGATTATAGATTTATTTTTGTAAAAGACTTGTAGAAATAACAGAATTATATATTTATAATTAAAAATTAATTAAGTGCATATTAATTAAATTAGTAATTAATATAATTATGTATTTTTAAAATTAAATTTTTGAGCTCTACTTATAGCTCTATTTATAAATTAACATTTGAAACTAATAATACAAGAGAGAAACAGAGAAACAGAGTGAACAGAAAAAGAGAGAGAAAAGATGAGAATTGTGAATTTGTCCATCATTTTTATAAAAATATTTATTTAACATTTAACATTTTCTTAGTCAATACATGTAACTATTGTATTTCTTGATTCATATAATACTCAGAGCTGGCATAGTCTAGGGAAGAATTTGTAACATATTTGATATCATCTTTAAATGACGTGGATGATCGCTATAGCGAATCGGTTCCCCCGCACATAGCAAACTATTCGCGAACATGAAAGCGGTTATACGTTGTAGCGTATCGTACATATAGCGGTTTGGTATTGGCATTGCATCCTTTTAGAGGATTGCAGTGGGTTGCCGACAGCCCGTACGTGAAAAAAAATCATCTGGCAACCACCGTTAACCTCGATATATGTATGTTAATCCTCACCGGCCAATCAGATAAAGCTTCGACGTTAAATCGAACTACTGACCTAACGGCTAAAAATATTTTGGGTAGGGGAATCGCTTCATTACCATAATAAACGACTCATTGCGGAATACTAAGTTTAGGGTGATTAAAATGCACAAACTTCCGTCGATCGTTTTGATTTTATTATGTTTGTTTACGCATATTAATTCATAATATCTGAACAACTTTTCTTACTTTGTTATTGTGTTGTAGCTATTTGATCCTATAGCTTCATCCTTGAAACATTGAGATTATAATTGCCAAAAAAATCATAATTATAATACGTGTAGATTATTTTAATGAGCTATGAAAATATTTTAACTGGAATTTTTAATATAAGCAATAATTTTATTAAATAAGTTTTAATACAAAATTGTTGAATTTAAAGTGTAATTATTAACAAATCTTGCGCAAATTGCTTGAACTTTGAAACATTGAGACGTTTATAAAATTGGATATCTTTCAAATATATATCTTTACTATTGATTTATCTCTAGTATTCTTATTCTCACTAGGAAACCTTTCGAGAATTTATTTCCCGATTTCGATGAATTTACAGGACATTTAAAACTCGAGAATGGAATGCTGAAAAAATTGGCTTCCGTTAATAATTAAAAATGTTAATAATTTAAAAGTTGTTTGCTGTGCAAAGATAGCTTTTATTTGGCGCATTTTGTGCTAAATAATTTTATTATTGATTTTATTTCTTTGTGATATATTGCCTAATTTGCTTTATCGTTTTGATTCTATTCGTAAAACTGTTAAATTTTGCTTAAAATAAAAATTTGGTATCACAAACTACAATGAAACATTTTTCACAAAATTCTTTATAATTTTTTAACTATTAACATTCGGAAGCTAATTTTTTCAGCATATTATTCCTCTAATCGAGTTCTAAATGTCCTATAAATTTCATCGAAATCGGAAGATAGATTCTCGAAAGATTTACTAGTCAGTGCTCTTTTTGAAAAAGAATTACAATTCTATTGTGGCAATTTACTGTACTGTTCCTAGAAGTTAACATTGACCCATGTGACTTTGGGCTATTAGCCAGATTTAGCCAAGCTCAAAGCGAGCGCAAATTCCGGACACGTTTATACGCTAACATTATACAGAACATAGCGGATAACGTAGTTTGACATGTAAACAGGTATATATCAACATTTGGATAGGATATCTTAGTCAGAAAGATATGTATAATCTTTGCATAATTTTATAATTTTTATTTGGAACTTTATTTGAAATTTCTAAATATATTTTTTTATAATTACTCCAAAACAATTTTCACTTAAATTAAGATTTGCGAGTTAAAAATTAAACAGAAATACAACAGTATTTATTACATTGTTGCAACATGCAAATTAAATCGTCATAGACATTCTCATTCGTGTACGATGCTGCCGATAATTGTTGCACGACATTGTCATACGCGGAGGAGGTAAGGATGGCGGATCTGTTGCCGAATTCATGTGCAAAATCTGTTTCCAATTCCATGAATTTAGTTGCGAGTAGATCGGTCTAACGGAGATATAGCTCGGATCGCTCTGTACACTCGAATTCCTAGAGTTCTTGTGAATCGAGTTTCGCGCCGGCGAAAAGGGTACGGCGTATACGTCCTCCTTTAAACTTTGCGAGATCGTAGATATCGCATTCTTTTTCTCAGACTCGATAGTGTCACTCGAAAGTCCTTCCGGCAGCACTATGGCATCCAGGGTTCTACGTTTTACGATCATGATTCGCTTGTTTCCTTTCAGCATCGCAGGATTCCGCCGTACCGTGAAGAACATAATGAGAGCACTCACGAAGCATGTTAGTATTAGAGAAATAACGAAAATAATAATAATTATGTTTTTATCAATACTAGATGTAAGTGATCTCGTGGTTAGACCCCAACAATTCAACGGTGTAAAAGTCAAATTGTTCAATAAACAAATCGTATAGCTCGTTCCTACTTCAAGATTTATAAGATAGGCGCACTTGACTTTGGTGACGCAATTTATCGATTTTTTTAGACTGGCTGAGTTTGATCGCACGTCATTGTTGAACCAAATCAAAGATACGTACAAATCCGGTAGAGTGAGCAGAACACTTCCGTTATTGTAGTCCGTCGCGAAGAAATTTTGGAATCCTAATATTTCGAGGTCGACCGTCGAAAATACGTGATGCGAATACTGTGAACGAATTGAATAATTCAGATTATCGCAGTCGACATGAATTGTTTCTCTTGTGCTAGATTCGATTGTAGAAGACGGATTTGAAACGCTTATTGTTGTTGATATTACATCGTTATGTGTTGTATCATTAGTTATATTTATCATCATTGTTGTCGTTTCATCAGTTTTATTTGTCATCATCGTGGTCGTTTTATCAGTTATATTTATTATCATCGTTGTTGTTTCGTTGCAAAAATTGGCGAGCGTGAAGGACTTGTTGGCGTTTACTTCAGGCGAGCTGCAAATCAGATCCTTTTTTATCACATTCGAATGTTCTCTCATCATATCCTGCATCCACTTGAGTTTACAATCGCAGTGCCACAAATTGTTATTGATTGTCAGACCGAAATCGATATTCCACTGAATTATTGTATCAAACAGACCTTTGGGTAAAGAGGTCAGAAAATTATCGTTCATGAATATCTGTTTCACAGATCTGGATATTGGCGCGAATGTATTTGGGCAAACAGTCTCTATGTATGATTTGGATAAATAAAGGGATACTAGGTTGAATACGCCAGAGAAGAGCTGCGAATCGATAATCGGGATACGGTTGTATCGTAGAGACAATATTTGTACTGCAGGTAAAGGATATTCTCCCGTAATATTTCGAAGAACTTCTGTATTTTCGATAGCATTTTCGATCTGAAGAGTTTCTAAGGTATTTCCAACGTCTTTTAATAAATTCCTGTCGACCCATTTTATTTTATTGTCTATAATCCAGAAATCTTTCAGATTTGGAAGATAGCGAAAAGTTGCTCTTTTTAAAATAGATATATTATTGTTTATTAGAAAAAGTCTTGTTGTCCGATGAAATATTGTTGAGGAAAAGGCTTTTTTGTTTAAGTTGGTTAGGAAGCAATTGTCAAAAGTTAATTCATTGATCGCTAAATCCGTCTGCAACCACTTTTTTCGAAGTTTATTGCCGGGAAACGCCGATTTTGTGAATTTTATTTTTACAGCAACATTTGAGCCGCATTTAACCTGTTAAATAATTATTGGTCAAATTATTTTTTATGTAATAACACTCAAAAGTTCTATAAAATCTCTATTTGAAACGTTTTAAAAATCTTATGTTATATTTAATATTTATTTAAAATTTATATATGCAATATATTAATTTTTACTTTTATTTGTATTTTGGTTATTATATCTTAAAATGATGATTATTACCTTGAAAGTGTTCTCGATGAAAGTCTTTATCACTTTTCCTGAATCGAGTTTCTCGGGTATGTAAGAGCATGTAATGATCTTGCATTGCTCAAAAATGCAGTACGACGTATCCATTGTCTCGTTATTTCTCAATAACGACGGTCCAAGTTCTTGCTGATTGACGTCGTATTTTGACGTGACATTTCCTTGTTTTGTAGTTTTGGTATGATTTAACGAAGCGCACAGTGTGTGAGAGATGAAATATCCGACTGCACTGTATACCAACGCAACTGCTAGAATCGCCCAGCATGCAAGGAGACTGCATTCAATTATATCTACTTTAAAAGAGTCCGTGATTATCACGGATAACAAATGGATATTAATTTTACGCATTATATTGATTCGAATGTTTCTAGATTGGTCAATTAGGAAAAAATAGATAATTAATATAATGGCTACAAATAACTTTTAAACTTGCGATAAAATGAACTATTAATTATATTAATTATATTATATTAGTATATCAAGAATACGTTTGATTAAAAGAGAATGTGGAATACATTTAGTGAACTATTATAACAAATTGAAGCTCTTTATATTACTGATTATATTGACACATTTATCATAATTACTAAAAATTTTCACCACGCTTTTTAATTTGATAACTAGTTTATGATTTGTGGAGCTTTAATTAAGATATTTATTTAATTTGGGAATCGGAAAACGTGTTAAAAGCCATGAATACCTTTTTATCCAGAGTGAAATCCCAAAGTTCATCTTTGACGTTGTTGGTAGTACGCCAAACACTATTGCTGGGCGATGCGGTATGATTAATGCATCCCAGAGTTCCGTTGCATTTAGAATCGTAATGTGCTCGCACTCGATATTGATTAGCGTTATCTTGTGCACTTGTCGATATACATATCTCGTATTGATTACCGATGCGACGGTACTAAAGCGAAACTTGGGTAAATTACTTCACATTCTAATTAAATAACTATGCTATCAACGGCCGAATCAATAGAATCGCCGGTTTTTATGCAATTTATTTTATTGAAATGCAGTAAATGGTGCAAATGACGAACTAACGATGCTTTTGCTTATGTCATTTTTATTCATTTGAAAGTTCACATATACACGTTAATCATTAACGACATAATAAACAATGACATATAGACATTAGAATTTGAGTAGACAGGTCCGACAGGTGCGGGCCGATACGAGAAAAATGTTTCATAATACATAGATATCACGTAATAGTTATCATATGACCATATACATGTAACATTATGTATAGACATATACAGACGAAATTCGTGTACGTGTACGTGTACGTGTTGGTATGCGTGGTATAACAACCATGTATGTAACATCGATATAACATTAGGCGTGATTTAATCTCGTACGCGTGTGTGTGTCCATTTAGATGTGTGTATATAGGTACCTCTGCCTAAGAGCATTTACGTTGAAAGATGTAGACGTGTACACTGATTCAGTAACTAACTTTTCTCTTCATGTCTAATTTTACACGGACTTTACGTCTTATACACGTAGGAATTACGATAGTTTTTTTTCTTTTTTTTTTCCTTTACTTGAAGACAATGAGAAAAGGGGATGGAAATGCTCCGTAAAACCTAAGTGTGTCGTGTTTTGCGTGTACATAGGCGCGTATATAATGCATGTGTCGTGTTGTGTACAGTATATTGTGTGTGTTAACACAGATACGAGGTTTCTCGAGTCATGCGAAGAAGCAACGTGTGAGCGAGCACCGAGATTATAAAGATAATATTCTTCGATCGATATAATTAAGCTCCGTTTATCGTCCTTACGCGTGGGCGTGGGTCCTGGGTGGGACCGCCGACAATTTCGTTTACACATCCTGCTGACGCACGCACGTATGCTTATTTAGGTATCATCGTGTTCGCGCGTATTCACGCGTCTTTTCAGGGTATTCGCGCGTTATCAAGTGAAGTAAGTATAATTAGCGGGCCAGAATACGCCCGTTGGGCGCGCCGGCAACGATCCGACCACATTGTAAGACGCTGTACAAAAATATCCGCTTATAATAATTAGTAATAATAAACGGCGCGCCCGACGAGTCCAGCGCCGGCACCCAGCGATATGTCTCGACATGGTTCTGCGGGCTCGATATCCGGCGATCTGTAGCCTTTTCGCTGCTGCAGCCACTGATAAGCGCTCAGTATTCTTCTCGCTGTTTGTAAACTGTCAGAATTCTAGAAACAGTTCCACCTCTCGGTTTTATTCAGTTATTATTCGATAAGGTGTGAAATGTGATTCAACATTATATAGCATTTTTATGAATAATAATCAAGTGTTCAGAGCATCTTACCAGCGTATGTCGCTATGATATCCAGCAGCGAAGAGATTAGAGACGCGCGGACTGTACGTTCCCGTTTTCGCCTTATAATCGCTCTAAAAATTGTTTAAAGATATGTCCTAACGCCCGAGCCGGAAGTTGTTTAGCGAATTGGGTAAGAGAGCTTTCGCGTGTACGAGCAGATAATTGATTTAAATTTGAGGAAATTTTTTACCGCGACAATAGATTTGTTTTTATTCCTATTAATTAGAAAACTTTGTTCTATTAATTTATTTTATCAATTAATCAAGTAAGCAAAGAGAAAGAATATTCAGTGGTGTGGAAGGTTGTTGGGATTATTAATTGGAATATAAGAAAGCAAAACATAGAAGTTTGAGACATTCTTCTTACTATATTTCAGTTTCTCATCAATAATTAATTGATTTAGGTATATATACCGAACTTCTGACTCAGGTATAATTATACTATTTTGCTAGCTGTACTTTCGTGTCTATCAACTTTTTTTTTTGTAACTTACTACCGTTCACACATTGCCGTTTTTTCCCTTTAATAATCATAAATATACATAAACTTCAAAATATTATATATACTTATAAATTATACATACAGAA